TAATGTTGATGATAAGAAAATTACTGATGCTTTGGTTTGCTGTGGCTCTAGTGTTGGCAACATTTGCAATGCTGGTAACAATATTTGTCACTCTTGCACCAGTGTGTCTGATTCTGAAAAAGTCTCCTGTGAAAATGGCCTTGTTGATAAAGTTAGTGATGATGGAGTCGTTTGTCCTAGTCCAGGTTGTGACTCCTCAGGCACTATTTTCTCTGGTCTTGGTGTTGAGGTGCTTGGTTACAACGTGTTTCGGGATGATCAGCTTCTTCGCCTGGCCACTCCACCTTCGTCACTATTCAAGTCTGCATTCGACGAGATATCTCCACCTCTTGATTTGCGCTCTAACTTTGCTCCTCCAAGTAGTTCAGACTATCAGCAACCTAGTTGGGAGCAGGCCACACGCACTCGACCAGACATCCCTTTTGCTCAAATATTGTCCCGCCGAGCTGATCTATCTTACTGAATTTTCTTTACCTGGAAAGAACATACACTTCCTTTCTTTTCTTCTACACTATTTGACCATATTGTATTTAAGAAACTCCTACTATCCCTAATTTCCCATTTTGAATTAATTGTTTGTCTTAACTTTTTTCCACTCACTGTCCCTCAATATTTTATCTGGACATATTGAAGAGAACCTGTCACCGCCAAGTTGACTCATCATCACTAATGCTCGTTTTAGTCTGCTGGGCTTCCGTAAGGCCCGGCTGTTCCCGGTGTTGAAAATGAAACATGAATTAATGCATTTTTCCCTTCCCCATTTTTGACTCTTGCAGTTTTTGCTCCTGACTACCTGTACTTTTCTGGTAAAACTCTTCGTCCTATTTGCGTTATCTTATCTAGATTGTCTCAAGATCCGTATTTTGCCAAAAAGCTCTATTACCTTCAGTGGTGCTATTTGCTGCTGCAAATTCTGCCTTATGTCAGGTATCAATGATGCCTTGATGCTGGAGAGGATGGAATCTTCTGAGTCCTTAGAGAAGGTTGGGCTTTATTCATTTTAGAATATACAGATAAAAGAGTAAATATTCAGCTTTTCTTCTATCAATCTGACGTACTATGGCATCTTGGCTCGTCGTACGGGCTAACCATGGGCCAGTTCATCTGAAAAGTTCGACTTAAGCTATTAGTGTTGACGTCTATGATCAGGGAGAATTTTTCCACTTCATATTCACATTCTTTAGATTTGTAAAGGCAAGTTCCGTCGAGTGAGGAACTGCCGACGTGACCCTTTTGGACCGAAGCACCAGCAGCCAATTTATATTAGATGCATTTATGACTTTCCACCAATTAGGTCTCAAATATTTCCCATAGTCCATTTCTGCCTATTACTTATGCTTTATTATGCTTGCAGTACCTGCATTCTGCTGATTCACTTTGCGCTTCAGAGCTTCACCCCACCTCTGAGGATGGTGTTGAAGAAAATCA